TTAATTTGATATTAAAATTGATATATATTTATTTTTGAAATTTTATGATATCTTCCAATTTACATCTTATTTAAAAATAAAAACATTATCTCTTTCTCAAAACCACATAAACACCGTATTAAAATATCTATAGAAACGGAATAAAACAAAACATTAAAATCGAGGTATATCTCGTTGCATTGCGCAAAGAACACCAAAAATAAATTAATTTGTTATTAAATTTAAATTAAATCACAATAAAAAAATTAAATTAAAGAAGTTACATAAAAAAACGAGAACTATTAAATAGTTAATTTGATATTATCATCGATTTATTTTTTATAAATTTTTTTGCTATCTTCAAATTTATATTTTAATTCAAAAATAAAACCATTACCGTTTTCTCAAAACCACATAAAATCGTATAATATCGATAAAGATAAAGAATAAAAACATTAAAATCAAGATTTATTTTACTGCATTGTTGTACGAGAATCCTTCTGATATATAATAATATATATAGAGATTGAGAAATCCTAACGACCTTTTGGGATATGCATGAAGCAACTGTTTAGTAAGATACAGATGGACACATTTGACTGGATTTAAGGCATATATATATTCTTCTACGTCTATCTTATCTTTTTAATAATATTAATTAACCGACCAAACACTCACTTTTTTTTATTTTATAAAAAGGACATGATATGTAACTATAACTATTTGACTCTTTAACTGTATTTGACTTTAACCGACAATTATCCCCAACATGATTAGTGTTTATATCAAATCAAAACATGGGCCCTTATGTGAACATGATACACCATCACATCACTACTATTGACTACATATGTCATCGCACAGAGTACAACCAAATGCTAGACCGAGCGACTCAAGTGCACCGCCAAAGGTCGGTGTCACGTATTCAATTGCCAAAGAGATCAATGATCAAGGCAAGCCACCTCCTTAGGCATCTCATGAAAAAAGTATACAGAGGGCAAGAATGATGAACATATGGTGTTCATTGAAGTAAGAAAGTGGGTTTGGGTGAAACGAAAGGAAAACAACTACAAATTCAAATTTGTTGTTTGGTTTGGAGCCATCCAATCCAACTGAACCCAAGAAACAAGTGGGCTTCGTAGAAGCATGACCAATATGATATGATCCAAGAGTTTAGAAATCATCTCCTCATTTAACAAATTAAGCTTCCCAATCCCCACCATTTATCTTGAGAATCATTCTATCAAAGTAGACTCGTTTTGAAATCAGTTGAGATATTGGTTTTCGGTACTGCAACCCCAGATCTAGTTTAGAAGACTGCTCGTACTGTTAACGCATGGTCCTCGTTTGAGTGCTCTTGGTTAGTTGTCTGGGTCTTTGTCGGCATGGTCTCTTTTTATTGGGAAGACCCTCGTTTTTGTGTTTCTTTCTACTCCGCGTGGAAAGTGTTTGTTTTTGTTGTATTGCCTTATTGGCTTGCTTCTTAATAAAATTTGTTGCCTTTCAAAAAAAAAAAAAGTAGAAAATACGAGAAAAACGATCTATTACCGTATTTGAGAGGGAGGAGAAAATAAATTTTATGTTCTCGAGCAAGAGAGAGAGAGAGAGAGAGAAAAATCTCAATATTACAAACATACCCTTATTTTTATTAACATCGGATCGGATTGGATTGTAATCAATGGATAGATGTGTCAATTTATAAACACAATTGATTATTGAACCCCATACAAAACTAGCACTAGGGATCACATATCATATACCACAATCACCAATTACAATTATACCATAACCCTGTTTCAGATTGAATAGGATGAAGTGATAAAGATGGCATACACATTTTCATGAAAAAGTTTCAACCAAAACCATCTCAGGTCATCAAATAGGGCAAAAACCATAACCAGATAGATACATACAGTTCTGGTATATCATAAATTAAGCATAAACACGAAGAAATGTTAGATGTACCTCAGATGGGTTTCGCACGTTTCCTGAAATGGAAAGACCAGACACCTGCTGCTGATAGAAATACCGATCACCATTCACCCAGCTGCTGTATAAACATTCTAACAAGATACTAACTTCGGGAGGCCGCATAGAAGGGTCATATGAATTTGACATTTCAATTCGTTTTTTCTATACACTTTCTATCTTTAAAAAGTTATCACATGAACACGACTTAACCATAGCCCCATCCACATGATACAATCTTAGCTTAACTTCCTTAGCTAGGAATCGTCCTCAAAGGCGCTTTAGTGTTTAACTTTTGTCATAACCTGGATTTAGAAGCCACATAACTGTAATGATCATCATTCATCATCAAGGGATGTGACAAAAAGGTTCCACAATATCAATACTTGAATGACTCATTTTCGCTTGATATCTGATCCTACCTTCTGGAACTAGATTGGAAACCTTTGCCAACTTCAAACATGCCCCTAACTTCTTGTGAACTAATACACAAAATCATTCAAAAACCAACCGACTTCATAGTTCATAACAGACGTTTATGAGAGTGGATATGCAGAAAAATCAAGCTCAATTAAGGTAAGACTGAACATATGATACTTACCTTTAGATGACAAAATATGTGAGTAATAAAATTCATTGCTAAATCATAGAAATACAAATGACCATAAAAGAAATACCCGGAATTCTAAATTTTCTGCCTAGGAAAGTAACATTAAGTTATCAATCAATCATAGGAATTGAAGAAAGGCAAACCTTATCACCTTACTGTACATAGCATTTCAATTGACAAATTGCAGCTCCTACATAACGAAACAAGACAGATTTCTCCACCAAAACAAACCCAATTCAAAGAATTCAAAAGCTTCAAACCCCATTCAAGATTTCAATCTCTAACCTCCAAAAAAGGAGAAAAATCCCCTCTTTTTGGGTTCCTCTTCCACCATTACAGCCTTCATGCTATCTTGCTCAACCAACCTCCAAGCTGCTTGCTCGAATGCCAATCCTGCTAATGTTGGTGGCTTATTCAAAACAAGTGGGAACCCTCTATTTGTACTTCGAATCACCTCAGAGTCCTCTGGAATCACTCCCAGCAAGGCTAATCCCAACATCTCCTGAACATCAAGTACTGACATCATATCTTCCCCCCTTATCAAATCAGTTCGAACCCTGTTCACAATCATCTTAATATCCCTAATCCCATCACATTCCAACAAACCAGTGACCCTATCGGCATCTCTCAATGCAGTAATGTCCGGCGTTGTGACCAGAACAGCCTCATTAGCCGGGGTAATCGCCGTTATAAACCCAGCATCAATACCGGCGGGACAATCTATGAGTATAAAGTCCGGGCAACCTTCTTGACGGTCTTTCAATGCGTCAACAAGCCAAACTAGGGCTTTTCCACCAAACCCTAGGGGTAATTTCGACCTAGGTTTCGAAATACATAGTAATTCGAAGTTTGACCATCGTTTATCGCGGACAAGAGCTTGGTCGAGGCGGCAATCGCCATTGAGGACTTCTACGACGGTGTAATTGACGCGGTTTTCAAGGCCGAGAAGGAGGTCTAGGTTGCGGAGGCCGACATCGGCGTCGATGGCTACGACGGAGAAGCCCAATCGAGCAAGGGAAAGACCAACATTGGCAGTTGTGGTGGTTTTGCCGACACCGCCTTTGCCAGATGTGATGACAACGACTCTTGGGGTACCACCGGCGAGCTCCGGCTTGCGATTGTATTGAAGGACGGATCTAATGGGTGATGATTTTGGGTAGGGTTTTGTCGTTGGTCTAGGTAGGGTTTTGTACATGGGCTTGAAAGGTAGAAAGTTGGGAGAACATAGAGACGAGGGTTCTGTTAACCACCGTAGAGATGTCATCGCCGGCGGAGGAAGAGAGATTAAGCAGCTGCAGAAAGAAGCAGCTCAGCGATGGCGACCGTACTCTTTCATAAATGAGGGGACCCTTGGCTATGGCATCGGACACTCAAAATCACCATTTTGAGATAATAATGTTCCTTTCCTCGCAATTTTTTTTTTAAATAAAAAAAAAATACAATAACGCGAATTATATATCCTAAGATTAAAATCCCTCTTTTTTCCGATCCAGTCCCTTCATCATCGTGAATTCCAGTGGCGAAAAACGTATTAGTATGCCATGGGAATGTTACAATTTTTATTTTAAATGATCAAAGGGTTGTTCACTAAAAACTTATTGGGTAATCATTTATCAGCAACTGTCATTATCATTAGATATTTTATCGGTTATCAAAATAGATTGTTGGTAAGCGTCTTTTACTAAGAAAGTGATTATTGGGTTCTCTTTTTTGCTTACCAAGTAAGATTTTTGATCTTTGCTACGCTTTTTACTAGGTAAAATTCCTAGTTTTTGTCATCCTCATCTAGTAAAGTAAGTGACGATGACCCCTAATTTTATAACAATTTTGAATAAATCAATTCTTGAATTTTCAAAAATTGATTAAATAGACGTTTTGTATAGATGACCAGCTACAGAGGTAAATCAATTTAAAGGAAAAACCTAATCACCATCGCCACCCCCTTACTCCACCCCACTCCTAGGGGTATAAATGATATGAGATAGCTTGCGAGCTACTCGAGGTCAAAACTCGATCAACACTTGACTTAAATAGGCTTGACTCGACATATTAACTAGTCGAGTCGAGCTACCCGATACTCAACTCCAAAAGCTCGTGAGATACTCGATCTTATTATATATAACTCGTTCTAAAATATAATCATTTTATAATATAATTTGTAAAATATAATATAATATAAATGTCTTATATTTTCAGATATTTGAACAAAATTGTGCATTTTTTAACTATAAAAACTAAACAATTATTTTATTATTAAAATCATAATTAAAAAAAGACAAAAAAAAAAAAACTATAGATGTGTTGGTGAAGTTGTCTCACATTAAAAATGAAATAGTAAAGGAATTGTGAATAGGTGTTACGAAAGAGAGGGAGGTGAATGCATTTTCTAGTTTTTAACCGTCTTTTTGAAGATAAAGTTTTAGGTGCATCTTTTTAGTTTTATAAAATTTAATACAACATCTTTCAGTTTTATATTTTTAAGAGAAGATTTAAAAAACCTTAAATTTTCATAAATTCCAATGTGTGAGAATGGTTCGAGCCTGATTCGAGTTCGAGTTTGGTTTGAGCTTGGTTCGGGTTGGAGTTGGAGCTCAAGCTTCAAACGAATTCGAGTTTAAAAAATTGCAATCAACTTGAAGTGGAGTTTAGTTTTTAACTACTCGCGAGTTTTCGAGTCAAGTTCGAGTTCGAGTCGAAAATATCAATACTCAAGCTTGATTCACATCATTTACACCCTTACGGCCAGCCCACCCACACCCATCCCCTTGACAGGGTCATCAACGCCATATCCTCATCACAACGCCAATGTGAGATACCACAAGGTCGTCACTAGGGGTGTTCACGGTGCAGCTTTGCCAAACCGCAAATTGCACCGCATAAACCTCGAACTGCAAATTAAAAGATGTACAAAATATGTAGTGCAGTTTCAACCACGGTTTGATAACTCAAAATCCCCAACCACTCATAGTGCAGTTTGGTAAAATACAAATAACACCACAAAAGTTCTAAACCGCACTTTGCGGTGCGATACAGGCGGTTTGTGCGGTTTGACGGTTTGGATGAACACCCATAGTCGTCACTATATTGTAAGAACTTACTTTCTTGGTCTTCTTCTTCAAGATACCTCAAGGCCTAATGCAAGTTCTTCAAAACAAACTCAACAAATCAAAGCATAGCATGAGGAAAATCTTCGCTTTACTCTGTAAATGACCGCAAGAGCAGAAGAAGCGACGTGAAAGTCGTAGTTACAGGTGGAGGGTCCAAAGAAGACGGCGAACACGATTCGAAAGAGGCAATGCTTCAAAGATATTTTCTATAAGAATGAAATCTCTTCAAGTTTATTCTAGACAACATTAATTCCAATGGTTGAGTCATATATCTCTCTTCCATCCAGAAGATTTGATCCGTTTACTCACTCTCATTTCAGACTTTTGTTTGGTAGTTTCGGAATTTGAATTGGAGTTTGTTTAGTTTGAATTTTAAATTGAGTTTTCACTGATCGTGTCTAAATTAAATTCTTAACGTTATTAGAACTGATATTATCTTGGTTGCACCTTAGTTTATTCGTTGGTTGTGAGGTAGCTGCTATTTTCTTATGTTTTAGTGGAGAACCTTTAACACTAGTTGAAAAGAAAGTGCATTTTAACTACAAGGGTGGTGTTTGATTGGTTTGAGTTTGACTCCAAATGTCAAAAGTACCAGGAGGTCTCATGTTCAAATCCAAGAAGGAATAAAAATCCTCTTGTGACCATGAAGGTTCAAATGCGGTGATTCCGGGCTATCTGCCAAAAAGGTGGTCGCCTTAAGATTAGTCAGCTCACATAACAAGTTGGATATCCAGGTTAATAAAAAAAAAATGCATTTTATGTTCAATAATTCATTCACATTTCGGTTTACAATTTTTCTTAGCCTTTTTTATAGGAATCGAAGCTTGTTTATTTCAAACTCTAAATTGATATTATTGAAACAATGTTGAAGCTACAAACTTCACATGTGAATATGAGAGTAAATATTTTGGATTGACAAATGCCACAATCCAATCCGGGCCGTTCAAAATCAACGTTCCAGATCTTTCTCCCCGGCCCCGCTTCCATATCCAGTTGATCGAAGAGGTCTTACACGTGTCGCTTTAACAAGCTGTCGGATCAGATAGCAGTCCCCTGCCCAACAACCAAAAGTCGTGACATTCTAGATTGCGTTCTTATCTTTCGCCACGTGTCCTATTTTTTCTTGGAATGGCAATTTTGCCCTTGCTTCTTTCCGTTCGGCACTCCCTTATCATGTGATCAGTTATATTATCCTTCATCTTGGTTTCATCTTCAGATCCAACTTCTTCCAACTGCACGTTCATCTCACAAGGTTTGATTCCTTCTTCATTTCCTTATCTTCAATTTTCATTTCAATTTGATTTGGTTTGCAATCTCTGATCTCGGTGTTTCGATTTGGTGTTGAAGTTTACAATTTCGCAATTGAATTCGGGTTTGTTCTAATCGGTTTAGTTGATTGTTTCTTCTTCTTTTTAGGGTTTATATCGGTTCATGATTGATTGAGGATTTGCTTCGATTTCTCGGATCTTTAGTTCCAGTTGATTCTGGTCTTTTTATGGATCCCAGTTTTCCACCTATGTTGATTGATTAGATAGCAGTTATATTTGTTGACCATGATCCTTTAACCAGTTGGCATATAGGTTTATGAGGGCCAATGGAGCTGAAATACTTTAGTGAGCATTAGGGTTTCTAATTTCAATCCATTTCGGCTTCATTTATGTTTTCACCTTTTGGATTGTAAGCCTATTCCGTTGATGGTGCTTCCATGTTACAATTGGTAAATAGTTTCGAGAATTGGATTCGGGAAAAAGTGTTATGCACCGAGAGTTTTTAATGGAGAATATCTTGTTATTAGTACAGTCTTAATGATATTTTTGGAGGCTATACACACCCGGCTAATTGCAACAAGATTCTCTTTATAGGGGTGTTCCATATAAGCTCCTTTCTCTGCAAAATTCAAGTTGGAACTATCTCTTTCTCCATTATTATCACTGCAGAATTTGATGGCCATGTATTTAGCCGAGCCCTTTTAGACATTTGATTAATAGTCTTAGCATTAATATGATCACCCCAATAATTCAATGTTACTGGTAATAATACTATCACACTTTTATTGCAATTGTTTATTCTGTTGAATGTTTCTCCTTTCATAGGAAGGAGGAGGTTCTATTTATACATACATATGTGTGTCTGCATGTTAATCTGTTTGTCTGTATATGTGTTGTGGTTTGTCCATCATATGCTCTATGTTTTATGATGTTATTTATACAAACCCTTGTTGCTGTGCATATGCTCTATGTTTTATGATCTTATTTATACAAACCCTTGTTGCTGTGCTTTCCTTTCTTACATATGGTGTTCTTTGATTGCTCTTCAGGAGGGAATGCCATGTGGGTTGTTTGAATTGGAGCAAGATCTTTGCTGTTCTGTGGGTGGTACATAATTTATTTGGTGAGCATTGCACGAGATGAGCAAATGCAAGGGGTGTGGGAATTTAGGGAGAATGGTGGTACCAAGGGACAGTTTAGTGAGTTCGTATCAATATTCTCTTATGCTAGATCCGGCTATATCCGTATGGGATTGTATTGTTCGTAAGATGAGGTATTCCTTTACAACCGAGTGGGTGTAGGGGTGAAGAAGTTGAGTTTTGGTTTACATTTTAGTATTAGTGTTTGTGTTATTCTAATAGTAGCTGCTAGCAAAGGAAGAAATAATCAAGAAAGACTGACTTAATACTTGTTAAAGAGTTTTTAGTTTTTTTAAAGTATAGGTAGGTTAAAAGAGATGGATTTTGGTAAAGGTGTTAAAAAGGGGAAGAAGAAGCAAGTGAAAGATGAATTGGATCGTATTAAACAGGCAGAGAAGAAAAAGAGACGACTGGAGAAAGCCCTTGCAACGTCGGCAGCCATTATTTCAGAGCTAGAGAAGAAGAAACAGAAGAAGAAAGAAGAACAAAAAAGGCTGGATGAAGAGGGTGCTGCAATAGCTGAAGCGGTCGCATTGCAAGTCCTAATTGGTGAAGACACAGATGAGGAATGTGGTAGTAACTTTGATGATCTGTTTGGTGGTGGAACAGGCAGTAACCGGCCTTATATTTACAGGAGGAGTGGCAATGGAAATGGTTGGATTTTGAAGAATGGTGGGTGGGGTGAAGATGGGTGTTTAGAGTATGTTGATGAGATATCTGCACAGGCTGTTTCAGGGCTACAGATTGCAGATGACGAAGATACGAATGGGTATGTTTATAAGAGAATGGTGAGAGGGTGATGCATGATGCAATTGGGGTTATTTGATAATAAGATGTGTGTTTGTATATACTTTGGGGGTGTTTGTTTGTTTGTTGAAGAACAAAGTGTATTAGGGGGTGTTTATTGTTATTGATCTCATATTCCAATAGATGATGATGATGTATTTCTTAATCTCAATTTATTTTACAGCATTTTGATGTGATGTTGCAAATAAAAAATTAAACAATCAACGGTTGGGGATAAAGTGGTTACATTTTTAAAAAATTAAAACTGAAAATACTTCTTAAAAGAGAAGATGATCGGTGGTTAGGATTAAATTTCATTGCGTTGCATTATATATAGAGAAAGTGAGAGGCTAATTCAAATGTGAACTATGAGAAGGTTACAACTAAGAGTATTTGTGTCTTTTCATCAAATTCATATTTTTAGGAATAATTAAGTTTCTTAAATATCTCATATAACATCAAATAAATCAGAGTTTTCTTAAAAATTATTTAATTTCTTAAATATCAAATAAACCATGATTTTATGTTTTCTAGTTTTTTTTGTTTGTTATATTGTTAGTAAAAGAATTTTCTGAATCATGTTCATGACTTTCATGGTTGCCTTCTTTGTCTTCTTTTTCAAATCTGAATCATCTTTTTCATCTTCGTCACTTTTTCATATATAAAACCATATACAAATACTCATCAATGTTTTCCCGTATATGAAATCATATTCATAGATGAAAAAAAATTCATTACTTTTTCATCTTCCATCACTTTTTCATATGTGAAACTATCATATCTATAAATCCTAATAAATAAGTAACTTTTGGGACATGTGTCATGTTTATGTGCACGGTTATTGATTTTTCCCGCCTAAACATGTATCTAGACGCAATTTTCACTTACGGTTCAAATAGGTCTATTTAAGTGACATTTGTCCCTCTACACGTTTATTTTCCTGTTTTCGTGGTGTAACTGAATTTAACTCTGAAGTGGCCTCCAGACTTGCAACATAACTCTAGAAAAATTCAGAGTTGTAAGTCTGAATTTAACTCTGAAGTGACCTCCAGACTTACAACATAACTCTGGGAAAATTCAGAGTTGTAAGTCTGAATTTAACTCTGGAATGGCCTCCAGACTTACAACATAACTATGTGAAAATTCAGAGTTGTAAGTCTGAATTTATGTCTGAATTTAACTCTGGAGTGGTTATCAAAACCGGGTTTAAAATTTCAAATTCGGATTTTTTTGAAGCATTTTTCAACATAGCTCTTCCCCTTGGACCCCGCCACCGGGGCGTTGTCCCCGGACTCCCGTCATTTAGGGGCTTCACCCATTAATCAAAATAAACTCAAACAAGTGTGCATTACGCACCTTCCTTACTTGTTCGAGATTTATCATGATTACATTGGTCAACAATTTAATCTCATTACACTTAAATGACATTAGTGATACAAATCATCAACATGAAGTCATCAAATATTGGTTATTTCTCAGATTTACAACATAACTCTGAATTGTTTTGTTCCAAACTTAGTTATATAGTTTATTCTCAGACTTAGAATACAACTCTGAACTCCTCTTCAGAGTTACGTTTCTGAGTAGCATTTGAAACGTTTATACATACATATATATATACTAGAAGGGTACTCGCGCAATGCAACGAGACAAATCTCGATTTTAATGTTCTATTTATTATGTGTCTTTGTAGATGTTATAATACGATTTTATTTATTTTTAAGAAATCAATAATGATTTTATTTTTGAATAAAATATAAATTTGAAAATATAATAAAATATAAAAAAAAAATATCAATGTTAATATCCAAT